ACATATATACCGTAGGGCTAGAGGGGAGGAGCAAGAGGAGGGTACTGGGGCTACTTCCTTGTTGCCGGGTAGATTTGCAGCAGGCCCGGATATGTCCATAAAAGGCACTCAAGAGTTCTAGCGGGGGGGCAAGGCCCCCCACAATTCTTGTCACTGCTCTTGTCTTCCTCTTTTGTTAGGAGCTTCTTACTATATTGTACAACATGCACTTAGCAAGAAAATAAAATAAAACATCAAATATATCATGAGTGTTTAGACTAGACATCAACATTTCACATTAGCTGTTTACTTGCTTACAAAACTTAAAAGATAACACTAAAAATAAAAACCTATGTGAAATACAATGTAAATACAAATAAAAGTCTACCACAGAAATAATCTTTGCTTCAAATGTTACACCCAAGGCAATCTTCACACATGAAAACTCTGTGTGCTATACACAAGTATCGCTTACAGGTAGCATGTATGTTTTGTTTTCCTGTCCGTTTTTGTAGGGCACAGTTGATATCCTTTTGGTTTTCATATTGTCATAGTAGGTCTTTGTGATGCTGCACCTGCCCATTTACCTGTCAGCTAACGAATGTGCTCCACAAATTTTTTTGCATAGTCTCCTTGGGCAGAAATATTTTGTTTTTCCTCTGCTGTAAATGATCTCTTCTGAATTCCAGTCCCAATCCTCTAAGAAAATTTCTCTGTGGTATTTTGCACTTGTTATTTTCTTTATAAAGTATCAAGTTATTTATGCCACACACATTTAAGATCAAGTAAAACACCACCATTGGCCAATGCTTTGTGTTTCAAGTGACATTATAGTTGCCAAATAAGTCATCAACAACATCTACTCCACTTTTGGTTTTGTTGTAGAAAGTTCACATCTCAGGCTTTCATTTTGTCAAGGTTTTCCTATAAATATTTCCATCATGGTGCAATATTGACATGAGCAGAACCAGTTTGTTTTCTTTGCCATATACAAGGCCAGTGTTATGTCTTTCTGAAATCCAATGATTGATTCTCTGTTTTGAAATTGCAACATTTCATTTGGAATGTCTGTTTTGTTCCTGCATTCAATTTCTATGCTGGTCAATTTGTGTTCTGTTAGCAAATGTAACATCAATTAGAAACTAGTAAACCAATTGTCAAATGTCACATTCTGATTAGTTTGGTAGATGGGAGCAACAAGTCTGTTCACAACATCATTTGGTTTATTACCATATGAAAAAGGACCTGGTGGTTGAGTTCCAGGATAAATTTCTAAATTGAAAGCATAATAAGTCTTCACATCTACAAAGGCATAAACTTTATGCCATATTTTGAAGGGTTTTTTTTTTTTGGTATATTCTACCTGAAGGTACAGAAACCATGAAATGCTACAAGATGTTCATCAATAGTCATGTATTCAGATGATGTATAAATTGTTTGACAATTACCTACAAATCTCTCAAACAATGAGTGGACAGCAGGCAAATTATCAATTCTTTTTTCTTTCTTGGTGTGTGGTTTTGTTATCAAATGTCAGGCAATTTTGAAGGAAACCACATCTCCTCAGGGTCGTTATTATTCTACAAACCTCAAGCCCCCATCGCTTTTCCATAAGTCTTTTACATTCTTGTGATTACCATGAGAAACCCCTGCTAAGTATAGTAGACCTATGAATGCTTTCAGTTCAGCTACTGAGATATCATAATAAATACTGTTTTGAGTATGGCTGTTGGTGCACAGAGAATGTTTTAATTGTATTTCAGCATTTGTGTATTTCACAGCATCTTGTAGTATTTCATCTGTTACAATTTCCAACACTGAATGGCAGTCAGTCCTGGCATTTCATCCAATAGGTTTCACCCTGTTAAGATTTTATATATATATATATTAAACCAGGGATCAAACTCAGGACATTGTGCCTGCGAGGCAGGCAGTGGTGCCACTGAGTTAAATCCCCAGGGATCCTCACTATATTTTCAGACCTAATTCTAACATTTTATTGTTCCATTTGGTTGTGTGACAATTTTCTACCATTTTGACTAGTCAAATATGTACTTACATTGCTGCTCTCTTCATCATCTGAATCAAGGATATCTGCATTCCCTGTGTCTGTATTGGTTGATTTTCCTCCATTTCATTGTCATAGAAACTTTGGTTCATATGACCAACATCAAAGTCATCATCATATTCATCATCCATACTTTTGACCTCCTCCAAAACTTCCAAATCTGGTTTTTCATATGCAATTGTACTGAATCAGGCTACTTCTACCAGAAAAATCAAAAGAAAACTGTTTTTAAAAAACAAACCCTAAATGCACAGAAATTTAACAATGAGCATTTCATGGGTAAAACTCACCTATAGCTACTTTGGAGCTCCTGTACACACCTTGCTGTAGGTCTGTGAAGTGAGTGAATGCACATATGAATTTTTGCTTTCTCCAGGCACAGCTACTGTGAGTCACATCCACATTCCAAATACATGTTTCTCTAACAGAAGAGTAGTGGAGGTATATTTTATCCCCTGTAATGCTCAGGTAAACACATGCAAAACCTGTTAGCTAGAGCATCATGTAGGTAAAAGTCTTAGTTTGACACTTTTGCCCATGTGCACACACTTGCAGTTCATCATATTAAGTGAATAAAGACAAAGATTGCTTCCTGTAGCTTCCAAGTGCACCTACTGAAATGCACAGCTGGCTAGTATTATGTGAAAGTACAAATTTACAGTAGGAAAGTATGGGATAGGTTGTTGTAACCCAATGTTATGCCTTTATAAATTGTGCTGGGAAAACTGGCTTTATACATGCCAAAGATTAAACCTAGAGCTATATCTCTCACCATGCACTAAACTAAAATTGAAATGGATCAAAGATCTAAATATTAAAACAGAAACATTAAATCTGCTGCAAGATAGGATAGGTAGAACTCTTGAAGACATAGGTGTAAGCAAATATTTTATGAACAAAACCCTGATCACAGAGGAAATATTACAAAGAATAACTGCAATCTCATCTTATTAAAGAGCATTTACACAGCAAGAGAAACCACCAACAGAAAGAGTGAAGAGGCAACCACAGAGTGGGAAAAATTTTACCAGTTGTTCCTCAGACAAAAGACTAATATCTAGAATATATAAAGAATTCAAAAAAATCAGACCCCTCAAATTTAAAGACCCAATCCAAAAAATGGGCATCTGAAATGAATCATTTCTCAGATGAAGGAGAAACAGCAAATAAATATATTTAAAAATGTTCAATATCACTGGTCATTCAAGAGATGCAAATTAAAACACTGAGATTTCATCTCACTCCAGAAAGAATGGTTATTATCAAGAAATCAACCAATAACAAACTCTGGTGGGGCTGTGAAGAAAAAGGAACCCTTTTCCATTGTTGGTGGGAGTATAGACTCGTGCAACCACTGTGGAAATCAGTGTGGAGATTACTCAAAAAACTAAAACTAGAGGTTCCATTTGACCCAGCTACATACTATTTTAGTATCTTCCCAAATGAATCAAAGCATCATACCACAGCAATATGTGCACAATTAGCATACAGTATGTACAATAGCAGCACAATTAATAATAGCTAAATCATGGAAACAGCCCAAATGCCCATCAATGGATGAATGGATAAAGAAGATGTGGTTTTTTATACAGTAGATTACTACTCTGCCATAAAGAAACATAAACTTGAGACATTTCTAGGTAAATGAATGCACTTTGAGACCATACTCCTAAGTGAAATAAATTGCATACATATGTTTAAATATCACAGTGTTCCCCCGGTGTGAGAAATCTAAAGGTTAAATAAGGACAAAAATATATAACAGATTTGAGAAATATGAAGAAAGTGTTCAAATGGGAAGGGGGACAAGAGAGGAAGAAAGGAAGGGAAAATAAAAAAGAGAATAGAAGGAAAAATATGAAAACAAAACTTTGGTAAATAAGAAGAGGAAGAGGGGTTGAAAGGAGCAGAGGGGATTGGGGAAAAAAAGAAGAACCTGTATAATGTACAGGTATAAATTCCCTATGATGAACGTGATCATTATGTATATGTAAGATGTACCTATAAAATTAATTTTTAAAAAAGAATAAGGCCCTTCAGCAATGCTAACCTCAGACTCCAGGACCTCTTGAGTTGATTAAGAGTTCCATTTTCAGGCAGAGGGCTATAATACATAGAGTATTATGTTCTAGCTGCTATATGCTATAACAGCTCTGGAGGCTACAGGTCCAAGACCAAGCTGCTTTCTACTTCAGTTTCCCTGTGAAGACTCTTTACAGCTGGCATATAAGCTACCTTTTGTCTGTACTCTTACACTGTGAAGTGAAATAAAGCCCCATGTTGACTTCCAATTTTACATGAAGACTCAACCTGTAAACAAACAGGCAGGAAATTAAGCCAACCAAATTGAGGCAGGAAATTAAGGCATGGTAAGCCAGCTGGACAGTCAGACATGACCTGTCAATCATGGAGACTGGTCAAATCACAGGTAGGATACATGCACAGAGTCACTTCAGAGCCCTGTACTGGACAGTTTGGCTTGGACATGAGAAAAAGATATAAAACTCAGCAGCCATTGACCCTGTACTCTTGCAATGGCCCACTCTACTTGTTGAGTGTATGTTCTCTTTTTTTTTTAGAATGCTTCTTATTTTATTAATTGCTGTGACAACCATGTGATCCAATATTACTAAAGCTAAAACAGTGATCATTTCCATTATAAATAATTTACTATCAAAGAAAATTGGAATTGTCATTTATATGTTTTCTTCCATTTAAACAGCATGGCCTGTTGTTCTCTTTTTTACTTCAGACTTTACTTCTTCATTTTTCACTTCTTTTTCTTCCCTTTTTCTTCTTCTTTTACCTTTAATAAATGTTGTTAAACTTTTACATTCTTCAATTGTCCTATGCAATTCTTTGAATGGGACAGCAAGAGCCTGGAAAGGACCACTTTGGTAACAGTTTGGCAAAGCCAGCCAGGAGGCTTCAAGATGTGCCATGAGAAATATCATGAAAAAAATAATAAACAACCCTGCAGAGCCCAACGATTTTGTCATTAGGTTGTATCCTTCAAAATTGGAAATAATTTGACCTTGCCAATCTAAAAAAAGGAACAACTTATCTACTATTGCAATATGGTTTGGTCCAGGATGACAGTTTAAAATAATTCAAATTTTTTATTTAAAATAAAAAATATTTTTTATTAGATTGTTTCTACAAAAAGCATACAAGGTGGTGTGAAATCCTTTATGTTCAGGCTGTATGACTCTGTATCTCTGGAAAGGTTCAAAAACCCTGTCCTCAGATAGCCACCTATCTCTCAGAGGGATATGGTTCTCTCCCACCCGTTTCCTTTAAAGCCTTGTGCCCCAGAGAGGCCTAGTATTTTCAAAAGGTCCTAGTAGGCTTGCAGATGGCCCTCCAGACCTCTATGACCCAATAGCTGGATATAGCCTTTTCTGTATTCGGCAATCAGGATCTAGAGGAAGATAAAAGAGAAAAGCTAAAAAAATTACAGATCAAAATTATGGCTGCCATAATTGACATTGCCTTAAACACAACCAAGTTATCCAAGGGAAAATCCAAGGCCAGTCAAGGTCTTCTTTAAATACAAGAAGACAGAATACTGGGCACATCAAGCCACTTCCTGGGCCCTGCTCTATATGTTAGATGTCCAATGTTCCTGACTCACGGCATTGAAAAATTGACTTTCCCTACTCTCAGAGAGGAGCTAGGCTAGTCAAGCACTCATCTCCCACTCGGATGAAGAGGACTGAAAGGACCTAGGGCATTCTGCAATACCCCTGTCCATGAACATCTCCATCTCCTGTGAAAAACCACAAGTGACACTAGACATCATGGATAAACAAATTCAATTACTTTGTTTTAACTTCCTTCCTTGGAAAATCCTCCTCTACATTGATAGCCATAATTGAGGTCAAGAGGGACTCTAGTCAGAACATCTTTATTCCTGCTCTGACATGTCAATTTGAAGTTCTAGTGCTACGTGCCCACACAACAATATGGGAAGAAATGGGTTTGCTAACTACAACTTTTAGAGGTAGGCTATCTTCCCAGGTAGGTCATTTTTCATTGCAAGGGACACCAAAAGGACATGTCTAAATTCTCTTTGGGAAATCAAAAGGTTGACAGGGAGGCAAGAAGGGGAGCTTTGCAGCTTCTCAAAACTGAGAAACCATTGCAGGGGAACCATTCTGGTCCTTCCTCAATGGATACAGTGACAAGCTATAAAAACACTACGTGGGAAATGGGCACTCAAATTTTCACAGGATTAAGACTAGTGGCAACCTCCTAAGAGAAGGAAGCTGCTCCTGTGAATCACTGTAAAACCTGATGTTCCTCTTCAAAAATTAATACACCAGTTCTGCTCTGAGTACAGATAAGTAGCATCATTATAAATGGGCACTGGTAACCTACGTAATACTCCTCTCTGTCTTTACAGGCTCCTAACAAGTTCACTAAGCTCTCTTCTGTTAAATAGGCAGCTCAACAGTTCTGCATATATAGCTCATTGCCTTCTGACAGGTTTTCCTCAGCCCAGCCAGTCAGCCATAACATCATAACAAGTACATCAGGTAGTTGGAGTGTACATAATCCTTAGTATATAGGACATACAGTCTCTTTCAGTAGGAAATAGCTAAATGAAGAGAGAGACCTCCACTCCCTCAGCAACCCATAAAGAATTATGGGGATTTATGTTTCTTGGGGAAGATGAGGCAGGAGATTAGGGCATGGCAAGCCAACTGGACAATTGGACATGATCTGTCAGTCACAGAGACCTGTCAAATCATGGCCAGGATACTTGGGCAGGTTTGGATCCCTGTGTAGGACAGCCTGGATTTGATGTCAGAAGAAGATATAAACCGTGGTGGCCATTGGCCTCATCCCTACTGTCTTCTTACTCTTGTAGTGGCTAGCTCTACATGTGGGGCATATTTTCTCTCTTCTTTTCTTCAGAGTTCACTTCTTTTTCTTCTTCTTTTACCTTTAATAAATGTTGTTAAAATTTTACATTATTTGATCTCCCATCCAATTCTTTGACTGAGACAACAAGAGTCTGGAAAGAACTACTGGGCCCCATATAATCTGATAACAATGGTTTTTGCCTCTTGGTGAGTACAAAGCAAATAAGCACAACCAGGAGATAAAAGAGTAGAGAGAGTTTTATTGCTTTCAATAAGGAGAGCACTGACGATAATTCACAATGGTAATGCCCACACCACCCCCATATCGAACCCATGGCCTTCTTACTGAGCTACTTCCCCAACACATCAGCACCCTCCCCCCTATTTGAGACAAGTTCTTGCTAAACTGACCAGCTGGCTTCAAACTCACAATCCTCCCGCCTCAGCTTCCCAGAGTGCTGGGATTACAGGTATGTACTACCAGACCTGGTTTCATATTTGGGAAACTTAATATATACATGTTAATATAGGAAAGTCTTATCATCACATATAA